TCAGCAAAACAAATCAGAATTGCCTCACATTCACCTGGCGGTGTAAACGGGGCCATTGATTGTATGATTGATCCTGTGGTCTGTTAACAAATGCCACGAATGTGCACTTGTCCTGTCTTATCCTTCTCATCCTGGATCAGCAAATATGCAATGGACTAATCCAGGAGGACCCGATTAAACTAAGTCAAGTCAGGCTTTTTCTGTTAACCTGGCATTCTTGTTTTACCTTTTGCGCAATACCCCCTAGGTCATAGATCTCAAGCTGAATTCCTGGAGAGCCACAGCTCTGCAGTCTTGCTCCAACCCTAATCAAACACAGCTGATCCACCTAATCAAGATGTTTTAGACTAATAAGACAATTAAGCAGGTGTGAGTTGGAGCTGAACAGCAGAGCTGCGGAATCGAGTTTGAGACCATTGCTCCAGGTGAATTGTCCATTGTTGCTGGCAATTACATTCATGAAAAATGATTCTCAAGCTCAATCAATTTGAATTTTATGCAAAGCACAACATTGCTGTGTTTTTCCATCTATTATAGCTTTATGAAAATTCAGTTTTAGTTGATGAAAGTCAGACAATTTGACATTTCACCAATGGAAACCATAACATTTCAATAATGAGCTTTAAAGCCGCACTCATTTTGACAAACAATGTTGATATTTGGAAGCACTAAAACACTAACCAAAGAAGAACTTGCTGTTTTTGATATGCCCACTATAGTTACTACACGCCCCTTACTGCTGATTGGCTGCTAGTTTGTTCTAGGGTGCAACATGATGGTCAAAAGCGCATTTCCCCAAATACTCAGTGTGTTTTTAAAACAGAAAGAATTAACATGATACAAGAGTGTCCATTCCTGCTCATGGAAGGCCAAATTTAGTTCCAGCATAATTGCAAATAACGTTGTAGCGAGTCAAAAGCTTGATTAGCTGGTTCAGATGTTTTTTTTCAGTTGATAATAAAAACATTGAGACTGATGATAGTGTCAATAATGATCCACCCAACTTGAAATACTCATGACACATTAGCTGCAGGCAACATAACTGCAAATCTATTATGGTCACAGAAATACTCAAACAAATTAATTGTTAATAAGGTAGTGGTTGGGTTTAGATGTTGGGTAGGGTTAGGGATCAATAAACAGTCAATTTGTTATTAAGTAATTAATTTGTATTAGCAGTAATTGTTACACAAACTACAGCGTTACCTCTATTACAAAAAAAAAAAAAAATGGTTGCAGCATCTCATTTAGCATTGTGTAACAGAAGTAAGCAACCATGCTTCTGGAGCCCTGAGTGTAATTGGGGGGCTTTAAAAACGTCATATACTTTTGGGATGTCCTGCGTAAGTGATGAGAAGATTTTTGGGCTTGCTTCCTATTTCAAGTTTCTTTCAATGTTCTCCTATTTTTTTTTTTTTTTTTTTTTTGGAGAAAAAAGACTATTTATCATAATAGTCAATCAATATTTAAAGGGGTAGTTTACCTAAAAATGTAAATTTACTCCCCCTTAATTGGTTTTTAACCTACAACCATGGCAAAAGTATAGAATCTCCACTGTTAGAAGATTTAAATGTTTAATTATGTTACAAAAAAAAAAAAAAAAAAACTTTTGGCTGTATGAAAGACTTTTTAAAAAATCCCCAATCATGAATGATATGGGGTTGTATGTCAGGTCATTACAAACTCTTTAAATGCTCAAGTTTATATTGAGATTTTGGACACTTTTCTTATTCCATCAATTGAATGGAGGTTCAGAGATGACGACATAAGTTTTCAGGATGATAATGCATCGTGCTATTGGGCAAAATATATAAATACTTTCCTGCAGGAACGACATATAATGTCAATGGCATGGCCTGTAAATAGTCCAGACCTTAATCCAATTGAAAATCTGGGGTATACATTAAATAAAATGGTCCACAACAAGGCTCAAACCTGCAAAGCTGATCTGGCGACTGCAATAAGACAAGATTTGAGACAGACTGATGAAGAATACTGATTGTAAGTAGTTAAACCCATGCCTTAGAGAATTCAAGCAGTTATAAAAGCCAGAGGTGATGCAACAAAGTGCTAGTGGTGTTTTTATTTGGTTATTATAATTTCTCAAATTTGTGTGATTCCATATTTTTTTCTTGTTTGATCTGTAAAAACTGTTGTAATTGACGAGCCCCTGTTTTGCATTATAAAAGGTCATATTTTGGTTTTGAGGGTCTCCAACAACAGGCTGATAAACATGCAAGCTCAACAAACACTTTCATTGTCTTATAATATGCATTTATTTTTACCCAATGATCCCAACGACTCCCATGATTTGTATAGAGATTAATTGTTTCCCAAACTCCTCCTCAGCACGATGGTGACCATAGCAGTGACAAACGGCAGAGGATCGGCAGCTTACGAATGCATTTAAAGCCGTAAAGAAAGCGCCACGCATTGCATTTTCAACATGGATTTAGACACGACATGGGAATATAAAGTTAAGCAGATACAGCACAAGCTGTTTGGAGTGGTTACAAGTAACCAAACACAATTAAATACATATTTTGCAAACTAAAGAAATTGAGGAAAGCATTTTAAATCGCACTTAAACTTGTGAACTAGAGGAAGAAGTCCCATAAAGTAGGTGATTGTCTTCAGAAACATTTTTTGTTGTGCTGGTTGAAAGTCTCTTCACATTCCAATAGTACTGATTAAAGTAAATGATCTAAATGTGTTTAATGTATTTTTATATTCTGAGTTAGGCACAGGACTATGTTCATCAAATGTTCATCAAATGAAATAGTCTGGCCGAAATAGTCTGGCCGATAATTCCCATAATTCTGATAAGTAGCTCAAACAGTCTGTACATAATGTAGATTTGTACACCAGTTCATGCAGATCCGCCATTTGCACATGCAACGCGCGTTCATGTGCACACGAGACGAGAGAGAGAGCAAAACAAATGCTGAATCAAAACGTTTTAAAATCCTGAATCAATATTGGAGTTACTTGGGGGACACCATGCCTGAAGTATTTCTTTTAGACCGGTATTGTTCCGTTTTAAAACTATTTTAGTCATGCAAAGCTTTGTGTTTTACGAATGGGTTATATGCACAGAAGTGTTGTTCAGCCTCCGAAATCTTCTGGTGAAAGATTAATGTGACTATTTTCAGTTTCATGAGGTCCTTTTACAGCATCGATAATGTAGATTTTTATTTAGTTTAACTACAAAACATAAGTAAATAGCGCTATTAAGCCTAGCCTGCTATACTGAGGTAAAGTTGGTTTGATATTCACATTGGTTTATTTTTATACAATGATAACCTGTGACGTGCTCCCTCTATTCTTTACCATGCTACTTTGAAAATTCGGTCTGAAATAGCATGCAAGTATAGCTTCGTATAATTCGTAAGTGTAATTCCCACACCCCGCCAGCCAACCACTAAGCAGAGTCGCTTTAGGAAAGCATGTGAGAGAGGGCTGTCTGCTTTCATCTTTAAGATGCACGCATTTGTGTTTCAGGAGGCGTGGATTTGGATGGCAGGGGAGAGACTAGCTGCATCCGACACTGCCTACTACTCAGTAGATACTGCATTTGAATTTAAACGTGCTACTCAGCCGTTAGAAAAGTACGTTCTATACAGTATGAATGTGAGCAGTATGAATGGAATTCGGACACACTATATCCACCATTTTGTCATGTTCACGTGACCTCAGTTGTGTCGCTTCACTCCCATTTCTGAATTCTCTTGCGAGGCATCATGGGATAGAGCAGTGTGCATGGGATGCGCACTTCAGAATCTCGCAGGAAGTAGTAAGTCATCCGTTTACTTCTCGCATACAGATTTTCGAATTCTATGAATTCGGACATGCTACTCTGCTCGCATTCTGATTTTAGCGTACTATAGTATGGAAGTATGCGGTTTCGGACGCAGCCACAGTGTTCCAAAAGGTATTAATGTAGCAAGTTATATATATATATATATATATATATATATATATATATATATATATATATATATATATATATATATATATATTATTGCACTAATCATCAGAACTTTCACTCATTAATGCTCACTCATCTTCATTCAGGATCAGTTCCACACACATCTCCATTCTGCTAGTGTTTGGAGGGAAAGGTGCGTTCACGTTTTACCAGGTCTGGCATTTTATACAGTTTCGTGTCAATGTCGATACGAACAGGCGAAAGATCCGGACGAACAATGAATCATTTAAATGACTTGAATCTATTAAAAAAAAAAGAAAATCAATATTTTTTTAAAAACGGTGCACTCTTAGATTTAAACCACAGCTGCTTTCATTCACTTAGAGCTGTAATACAAACTGCTTGGAAGGTCATTTTCAAAAACCCATAATAGGGGCTCTTTAAGTGTTTTATATAGGCAGAAGGTTGAATTTTTGACTGAAAATTGTTGTTGTTTCAATAAACAACTTCCAAGACTGGTGATTCCATACTTTTTGCCAGGGGTTGTACATGAGTTCCTCACAAAGAAATATATTGAAGGCTAAAAACCTGTAACTATTGACTTCTATAGAAGGAAAAACAGTTTGTACAAAACATTAGTAGTCTCATTAAAGTCTGTTCACACCAACTATATTTTAGCATTCACACTAATCTACAATAATGTTCTGTTTATGCTAAGCATGCACTAAGGTTATGCTGTCTGCGACTTTAAATGTAGTTCATTCAATCTCACAGCAATGGGCAATGCACAGCTAGTGTTTTTCAGCTAATGATGAACTTCTGGCGAGTGCTTTATGTGACTATTTTCAATTTCATAATGTTCCTTTTACAGCATTAATGTTGTAATGAAATTCAAATACAATCAGTTAAATAGACTTAAGCATCCATTTGGTTGTTAAAGCTAAAAAGAGAGTGTTTCATTAGCAGCAGGCTAGTGCAAAAACTCCACTGAAAATACTGGGGTAAAATAAATCTCCATATTTTAAAGACATGGTGGGGGAAATGTAATTTAATGCAGAGCGTTTTGTTTGGTCTGATACCCACTTTATATTGCATCTCAGCCAGGCAGTGAAGATCGGTGTTTTTTCAAGAAATCAGATCTTAAAAGCAGCAGTTTAGTATGGGATGACAGTAACCTGGAAGCCCTAGGGCTGGCTGACTGAAATTAAAAGGCTGTGTGCATCTACCCCATTAGTGACTTTTTGATTTAGTGGCCAATTCGCATACATTTGTACGATTACATTTGTATATTTTAGTACAATTTACTCATACCTCAATGACGGTTGGGTTTAGGGGGACACGTCTTAAAAAAACAACATATTTTCATACAAATGAATTAGCACGAAATTGCCACTTTTCTGACTATAAAAAAAATAGTTACGTTTCCTTGTGAGATCCTGCTGTGGACTGACAGGCCTGTAGACAGCGCTGAATAAAGTCCTTGTCTGGCTCTTCCATGTGTACTCTGTGGCTCAATTTACGCAGCCTTCGGACCAGCGAGTGTAGGAAAGGTGGAGGTGTGACCCGCAGGTGTGTGGGACTGGATGGGAAGGCTTGGCACTGCTGTAACCGTATCAGAGCCATGTGAAGCCCAACCTTGCATGCCAGAAGAACCAGCTCCTCTTTGCACATCATGACTTGAGGAGCAATGCTGTGTCCTTTGGACTGAAAAAAAGACCAGATCAGAGTTCTAACTAACCCTAAATCGTCAAGAAGATGTCTTTAAACTGTTTAGTTTTAACATGGCTATCCAATACAAATATCTGATTTAACACCAACCTGATTTCACCAAGTATGACATGTTCCTGGATTAACATCTATGTTGATCCTGAAACAACTTTTCAATCAGCCAATCAGAATTAAAGAATATGTTTAACGTTTATGTTAAGTTTAGGCTACCGCACTTCTGCATAATTGTTATCCAACTATAATTCCCCTCTGATTTTGGGAAAAATTTACAGTTATGGCTGGGTTTAGGGGTAAGAAATAGGCATGGATTACATTTAAAAAATGATGTTCCAGGAGCAACACAGATGTTAATCCAGCATCGCATCGTACTTTGCAAAATCATGACGTGCCTGATTTAAAGTGCGAGCATAATAAGTGTTGCTTACCGACTCACAGCTGCCCACTCTGAACCGGGCCTGCTGTCCTGAAGCAAGAAACGACAGAAACACCAACTGTTGCCCAAGAACTCGAACCCCTATATTTTTGTTGAGGGATAGAAAGAGTGGTCTGAGGGGTGTTGGTGTTTGAGCCTTGTCTGTCCAGCTCCATGTTCTGATCCTTCTCCCGCTCTCATCCAGACTTTGCCCACCGCAAGCATCCACACACAACCTGCTCCACAGGAAACAAGAACCACTTCAGCACTTCCAGGGCACATTCAGTCATTTTCTTTTATTATTACTAATTTAGCTTATCCAATTCACCTACATATAGTGCATGTCTTTGGACTGTGGAGGAAACCGGAACACCCGGAGCAAACTCCACACAGAAATGCCAACTGACCCAGCCGAGGCTCTAACCAGTGAACTTGCTGCAAGGCCGCATCCCCACCCACTGTGCCACCGCACCACTACATTCAGTCATTTAGCTGTTAGATTTATAATACCTTATTCAATACCGTTTATAGTACTTGATGGTTTAAAGGGTAGTTTGCCCTAAAATGTAACTCGAATGGTTCCAAAGCTTTATGAGTTTGAGTATGAGTTGAGCACAAAATAAGGTATTTTGAAAAATGTTAGAAATCTGTAACATTGACTTTCATTGTATGAATTCCACAACAAATACTATGGAAGTCAGTGGTTACAGGTTTCCAGCTTTCTATAAACAATGTTTGCTTTTAATTACCTCTCGGTTGTGACTTCTTGGTTAGATTATTGTAATGCGTTACTAGGTGATGGCCCAGTTGGCCTAATTAACAAACTTCAGCTAGTTCAAAATGCAGCTGCTAGAGTGTTTTATAGAACAAAGAAATATGATCATATTACTCCAGTTCTTTCATCATTGCATTGGCTCCTTAAATATCGTATAATTTACAAAATTTTATTGACTACGTACAAAGCCCTGAACAGCTTAGCTCCCATTATAGCCCATCACGCCCACTACGCTCAATTAATTCTGGACAATTGATTATTCCCAGAATATCAAAATCAACTGTAGGCGGTAGATCTTTCTCTTATCTGGCACCTAAACTCTGGAACAGCCTTCCTAACAGTTCGGGAAGCAGACACACTTTTTCAGTTTAAAACTAGATTAAATACATCTATTTGCATTAGCATACACATAAAACACAACAGCTTTTGGAATCCAAATCCTTTAAAGGATTGTTAGTCTGCATTATGTAGGGCAACCGAAGCCGGGAACACTTCCCTATAGACATTATAATTTGAACAGAATATACGCTTGTGTTAGTCTGTTTTTAATTATTGCAGAGGTTTCCATTATCCTGGACTAGGCTGTATTCTGAGCAGATGCTGTGGTGGTCATGGAGGAGTGGAGAGCATGAGACTGATTCCTGAAAGACTCCAGTGACATTTATGGTTTGGCCATAGGAGAAATGGTCATACCCAGCTGAGCCTGGTTTTTCTCAAGGTTTTTTTTTTTTTTTCCCCTTCACCTTCGTCAATTGGTGAAGTTTGTTCCTCACCGCTGTCGCCACATGGTTCGGGACTTGTGGAGCTGCACATCGATGGATTTACTCTTCAGTGTTTGGACTTTTAGCAGTGAAAATTAAACCACACTGAACTGAACTTCAACTCTGAAAACTGAACTGACAGTTTCAAATCACAAAAAATCATCTATGTGAAGCTGCTTTGACACAATTTACACTGTAAAAGCACTATAGAAATAAAGATTAATTGAATTCAATTGAATTCAACAGAAGAAAGAAAATCAGACAGATTTGTGCTGCTGACAGAAATTTTTAGTTTTGGGTGAACTATCTTTTTATCAGACACATATTAACAATAAAAATCACAATTTTATCATTGAGAATTGTTAGGCTTCAATAATTATTGTGACTGGAACGGTAAACACCAAAATCCCCAGTGTACTTGTTACAATGCAAATTGTGGCATCTATGCTAATGCTAATGTAATCCCGGGCATAACAGCCTTTAGTGGTAAGCACAGGGCCCTGATGAGAAGTTCTCAGGAGAGATTTTAAGTGAAAAAAAAGGTCTCAGTTCTTGTTAACCAACCAGCAACTATTTCTAGAAGCTGAATGCAATTGCTAAAGTAATAGTTCACCGAATGCAGTAAATTCTGTCATCATTTGGTCAACCTTCACTTGTCACAAACCTTCTGTTGAACACAAAGTAATTTATTTTGAAGAAAGCTGGAGACCTTGGAGACCTGGTTACAGCTTTTCAGCTTTTTTTCAAAATATGCCTTTCTGTGATCAACATACAAAAGAAACTCTTATAGGTTTGAAATAACTTGAGGGAAAGTTAATTGTGAGGGACTTAAAATTGTTTGGGTGAACTATCCCTTTAAGCCAGTCTATTTTTGGTTAAAACTGCAGAGGTACTTAATCATTTGCTTGGCCACAGATGAAAGGTTCTACCCATTGAGCAAGGAGTTTTTTTACTTATCAATTTCGTTCACTTGATGGAGTTTGAGTTGCCACTGTTAGATAGTTAGGATCAGCTTACAGCTGTACACCCTTCTACACTGACATTTAAGTTGAAATGAGCTAAACTCAATTTAAAACATTGCTTTCTTTTGTGGAACTACCTGATGTTGAATTGACCATGTTTCACAGGTGATAAAACTTCACACTGTTACTAATTACTATTTCCCAGTTTATATTTGTAAAGCTGTTTTGATTGTCTGTACTATGGTTGCACAACATATCAACTCATTTTCTTTACTGTGATGATAGTATAGATTAGAATAATTGTAGAAGTGTAATAAATGAAGTTAATATTACATGCCAAGCATTTGTATTCAGCATGCATAGGTTGTTTTTCCAAATCTGACCCATTAGATGGGGCATTTTACTATCTTAATCCCCACCGCTCCAGCAAGTGGTTAGGTCAACCTTGAGCTAATAATAAATACTAATGCAGGGAGAAAAGGGAGTAAAATGACAACAACCAATAAGAATTAGAATTTCCATTAAGGTTTTCAATCATTCGGAGTGTTTTAAAGTCTAAATGTTTTGTTCAGTTTTTTATTTATTTAATTAGTTCAGAAAAAATATCTATTACCTGCTTATTTTAGCACGTCATTATCATTACTTAAATACATATTTTTTAAAATGCTGATAAGATACTAATTATTTTAGTTATACCATAAGAAATATCAGTCACAACACTGAACAACTATATCACATATTTTCCTAGTATCGTGCAGCTCTAGTCATGAAACACTAGATGGTGCAAACTGGTGAACTCCAACAGGCATCCTGTCAAATTGATTGGCCTTGCTGATTCCACAGGCAATAAGATTACATTGTCACCATTTAAATAGTCTTGTTCAATGTCTTGCTATATTCTTGTTACACAAACTATTATAATGATTTATAAATTATTATTATGATATATATATATATATATATATATATATATATATATATATATATATATATA